AGAGAACTGCGGACATCAAAAATAATGAGAAAAATTGATGGAGAGATAAAGGGTAAAGACTGGGGAGGGGGGAATGAAATGAAGTTGGATTGTTGAGGGATGAGAAGTTATCAAAATCAGATCATCCTGAACACAACACCCATGGATCTGCCCAAAAAAGAAAAGAACTCATGTGTTTGAGTTAGATTTAGTTCACAGGCAACAAAAGAAGAGAAGGACAGGTAGAGTGTGTGTTTTCTGATGGTCTTTGCACCCCCTCTGAACCACTCACCCCTCGTGACCCACCCTGAAACAAACCCAATAGGCATCTTTCTGGCTTTTTCTGGATACAGGGTTAACTATAATGGGAGTAATTGCATCAGTTTGGTCAGTAGGAAAACAGGAGTAACTATACTGGGAGTAATTGTATCAATTTGGTCAATAGGAAACGGAGGTAAATAGAATGAGAGTAAGTGTATCAGTTTGGTCAATGGGAAAACAGGATAACTAAAATAAGATTAATTAGGTTTGTTGGGACAACAACAACAACTTTTTAATGATCTCTCCAAGGGAGAAACTGGGGTAACTATAATAGGAATAATTATAATAGTTTGTTGAGGGATTTGTTGAATGAATGCATACTTTTCCAGCATTTCAAAGACAATCACAAGGCATGCATCTACATTGTAGATTGAATGAAGTTTGACACCATTGTAGCTACCATGGCTCAGTACTATGGACTCATGGGATTTGTAGTTTCACAAGGTCTTTAGCCTTCTCTGCCAAAAAGTGCTGGTGCCTCACCAAACTACAGTTCCCAAGATTCTATAGCATTGAACCATGGCAGTTAAAGCACTATCAAACTGCATCAATTCGGTAGTGTAGATGTGCCCTTTCCCATTATTAACTCTTTGCCATCTTGACCACACTTTGCACAAACGTTCCAATATCAATAAGAATCATAGAATCAAAGAGTTGGAAGAGACCTCCTGGGCCATCCAGTCCAACCCCATTCTTCCAAGAAGCAGGAATATTGCATTCAAATCATCCCTGACAGATGGCCATCCAGCCTCTGTTTAAAAGCTTCCAAAGAAGGAGCAGTTTAAACCCAGGTCCATATAGGAAACCAGAAATATATCCACTTCTCACAAAATATGTCCCCTCTGACAACTATTTATTTATTTACTGTGTCAGAAGCAAATTAAAAATACAGTTATAGTGCATTAAAAAAGCTCCGCAAAGTTACAAACTTAACATTATGCTAAATGCCCCGGTGGTGCAATGGGTTAAACCTTTGTGCCTGTCGGTTAGCAGTTCAATTTCGGGGAGAGCGGGTTGAGCTCCCTCTGTCAGCTCCTGCTCCCATGCGGGGACATGAGAGAAGACTCCCACAAGGATGGTAAAACATCAAAACATCTGTGCGTCCCCTGGGCAACGTCCTTGCAGATGGCCAATTCTCTCACACCAGAAGTGACTTGCAGTTTCTCAAGTTGCTCTTGTCATGAAAAAAGAATATGCTAAATGTTCTTTGACCAGAAGCTGGCCACTTGGAGTACCACTGGTGTCGCTATGAGAAGGTCCTCCATTGTGCATGTGGCAGGGCTCAGGTTGCATTGTAGTCTGTGGTTCATGCTCTTTTCCACACTCGCATGTCATGGATTCCACTTTGTAGCCCCATTTCTTAAGGTTGGCTCTGCATCTCGTGGTACCAGAGCACAGTCTGTTCAGCGCCTTCCAAGTCGCCCAGTTTCTGTGTGCCCAGGAGGGAGTCTCTCATTTGGTATCAGCCATTGATTGAGGTTCTGGGTTTGAGCCTGCCACTTTTGGACTCTCGCTTGCTGAGTGTTCCAGCGAGTGTCTCTGTAGATCTTAGAAAACTATTTCTTGATTTAAGTCGTTGACGTGCTGGCTGATACCCAAACAAGGGATGAGCTGGAGATGTCACTGCCTTGGTCCTTTCACTATTGGCTGCTACTTCCCGGCGGATGTCAGGTGGTGCAATACCGGCTAAGCAGTGTAATTTCTCCAGTGGTGTAGGGTGCAGATACCCTGTGATAATGCGGCATGTCTCATTAAGAGCCACATCCACTGTTTTAGCGTGGTGAGATGTGTTCCACACTGGGCATGCGTACTCAGCAGCAGAGTAGCAAAGCAGATGTCTTCACTGTGTCTGGTTGTGATCCCCAGGTTGTGCCAGTTAGCTTTCAGATGATATTATTTCTAGCGCCTGCCTTTTGCTTGATATTGAAGCAGTCCTTCTTGTAGCTCAGAGCACAGTCCAGGATCACTCCCAGGTATTTGGGTGTGCTGTAATGCTCCAGTGGGATTCCCTCCCAGGTAATCCCCAGAGTTCAATATGCTTGTCTGTTCTTTCAAAGGCATTGAGTAGTTGCCTATATGTAAAGCCGCCTTGACTCCCCTTCGGTGTAGAGAAAGGCGGGATATAGACAGACTCAGAAGTGGAGTGGGCAGATCAAAAGACAACCCTGGCAAAATGGCACTACCCAAAAGAATCCCACACCTTGTGTGACTGTGGAGCAGGACAGACAACTCCACATCTGTATGCTTGCCCACTATGCCCTGCCTCATGTACAGAGGAAGAATTGTTGGAGGCTACAGACAATGCCATTGCTGTTGCCCGTTTTTGGTGAATCATTAGAATCATAGAATCAAAGAGTTGGAAGACACCTCATGGGCCATCCAGTCCAACCCCCTGCCAAGAAGCAGGAATATTGCATTCAAATCAAAAAAGATATTTAGCCACCTGCACTCCTTCTATTTTTATTGGTTTTATACAAATTTATGCAAAATTATGCAAAATAGGGTAAATAAATAAGGTTAAAAGTACATGTCTGCATTTTAGATGGATTGGGAATCAGCTGGTATTTCCTGTAATAGGCACCGAGAGCACCTAAAGCTTCGGAGAGCTTCTGTTCAACCCTTTCAAAGCTCCCTGCTTGAGCGGTGATGGCACTATCATCAGCATAGATGAAACACTCTGTCCCTTCTGGCTCTAGCTGGTCATTTATGTAAATGTTAAACATGGATGGAGCAAGCATGCTTCCCTGAGACAGGTTGTTCTTCTGTTTCCACCATCTGCTTCTCTGGCCCTGGAACTCAACAAAAAAGCTCCTGTTTTGTAGTAGATTTCCTATGAAGCAGGTGAGGTGGTAATCCTTTGTGATATTATGAATTTTTCTCAAGAGGAGGCGATGATTTACAGTATCATAGGCTGCTGACAGGTCTGTGAAGACAGCTCCTGTGATCTGCTGCCTTTCAAAGCCATCTTCTATGTGCTGAGTCAGGTTCAGCACTTGCGATGTGCAGCTTCTGCCTTTCCTGAAGCCAGCTTGCTGTGGGATCAGACGTGGATCTATTTTTTCCATAATTCTAGGCAGAATAAGTCTCTCCAAAGCTTTATAAAGATGGCACAACAAGGAGATTGGTCTAGCTTTTTAGACAACTGAACCACTGCAAATGGATCTTCCACCACCTCAAATGAACAACAACAAACAACATCTATTGTAATAGAAAACTTTGCTATTTTTCAGGCTTGTCAAGTCTGTCTCCTGATCCCTTAATATTATGGCAACCGTCGTAATAGCAAAAACCAAAAGCCCTGGACGGGTGAAGCAGTGCCAAAGGTGAGAGAAAAGGTGCAATTCCTCATTGAAGGAGCGAATCTGTGTCAGGTTTGTACCTCTCCAAGTCAACTGAATGTCTCTTATTTTGAACAGAAAATTGATTTTGTCATTTGGGAGTTGTTGCTGCTGGGATTTATAGTTCACTTACAATCAAAGAGCACTCTGAACCCCACCAATGACGGAATTGAACCAAACTTTGCACACAGAACTCTCATGAACAACAGAAACTACTGGGAGGATTTGGTAGCACTGACCTTGAGTTTTGGAGTTGTAGTTCCTCTACATCCAGAGAGTATTGTGGACTCAAACAATGATGGATCTGGACCAAACATGGCATGAATACGCAATGTGCTCAAATGTGAACACTGGTGGAGTTTGGGGGAAAAAGACCTTGACATTTGGGAGTTGTAGTTGCTGGGATTTATAGTTCACCTACAATCTAAGAGCATTCTGAACACCACCAATAATGGAATTGAACCAAACTTGGCACACAAAACTCCCATGACCAACAGAAAATACTGGAAGAGTTTGGTGGGGACTGACCTTGAATTTTGTAGTTCACCTACATCCAGAGAGTACTGCTGACTCTATAGATCTGGACCAAACTTGGCACAAATACTCAATATGCCCAAATATGAACACTGGTGGAGTTTGGGGAAATAGGGACATTTGGGAGTGGTAGTTGCTGGGGTTTATAGTTCACCTACAATCAAAGAGCATTCTGAACCCCACCAATGATAGAATTGGGCCAAACTTCCCACACAGAACCCCTATGACCAACAGGAAATACTGTGTTTTCTGATGGTCTTTGGCAACCCCTCTGACATCCCCTTTATGGCCCCCCAAGGGGTCCCGACCCCCAGGTTAAGTAACACTGAAATATATCCTACCTATTTCCCATTAATGGGATTCAAGGCAGATATATATTTATATTGAAAACCATATAAATGTTTGGTGAACACTCTTGGGCAGAGAAGACTCAAGACCTTGTGAAACTACAACTCCCAGGATCTCATAGTTCAAATGGCATCAAATGTATTAATTTCACACACTTAGAAAATTGCAAGTATGGTGTAGCTCCACATTTTGGCTGCGATTTGTTCCACCAGCTTGGTCTTGCTACAATGCATTGCCCAAGCTTTCCGCATGTGGTTGGGTGTATTTGGGGAAAATAGGGACATTTGGGAGTTGTAGTTGCTGGGATTTCTAGTTCACCTACAATCAAAAAGCATTCTGAACCATGCCAATGAGAGAATTCCCACACAGGACCCCCATGACCAGCAGAAAATACTGTGTTTTCTGATGGTCTTTGCTGACCCCTCTGACACCCCACTTATGACCCCCCAAGGGGTCCTGACCTCCAGGTTGAGAAATGCTGACATATATCCTACTTATTTTCCATTATTGGGATTCAAGGCAGATGGCAATATATTGAAAATCATACAAATGTTTGGTGAGCACTCCTGGGCAGAGAAGACTCAAGACCTTGTGAAACTACAAGTCCTAGGATCTCATAGTTCAAGTATAGAATCATAGAATCAAAGAGTTGGAAGAGACCTCGTGGGCCATCCAGTCCAACCCCATTCTGCCAAGAAGCAGAAATATTGCATTCAAATCACCCCTGACAGATGGCCATCCAGCCTCTGTTTAAAAGCTTCCAAAGAAGGAGCCTCCACCACACTCCGGGGCAGAGAGTTCCACTGCTGAACGGCTCTCACAGTCAGGAAGTTCTTCCTAATGTTCAGATGGAATCCCCTTTCTTGTAGTTTGAAGCCATTGTTTCGCGTCCTAGTCTCCAGGGAAGCTGAAAACAAGCTTGCTCCCTCCTCCCTGTGGCTTCCTCTCACATGGCTATCATATCTCCTCTCAGCCTTATCTTCTTCAGGATAAACATGCCCAGCTCCTTAAGCCGCTCCTCATAGGGCTTGTTCTCCAGACCCTTGATCATTTGGGTCGCCCTCCTCTGGACACATTCCAGCTTGTCAATATCTCTCTTGAATTGTGGTGCCCAGAATTGGACACAATATTCCAGGTGTGGTCTAACCAAAGTGGAATAGGGGGGTAGCATGACTTCTCTAGATCTAGACACTATGCTCCTATTGATGCAGGCCAAAATCCCATTGGCTTTTTTTACCGCCACAACACATTGTTGACTCAAATAAGTAGCATCAAATGTATTAATTACACAACCTTAGAAAATTGCAAATATGATGTAGCTCCACATTTTGGCTGTGATTTGTCCGCCTGCTTGGTCCTCCTGCTACCATGCATTGCCTGAACTTTCCGCATGTTGTTGGGTGTATTTGGGGAAAATAAGGACATTTGAGAGTTGTAGTTGCTGGGATTTCTAGTTCGCCTACAATCAAAGAACATTCTGAACCTTACCAACGATAGAATTGGGCCAAACTTCCCACATTGAACTCCCATGACCAACAGAAAATATTGTGTTTTCTGATGGTCTTTGGTGGTGACCCCTCTGACACCCTCTTTGTGCTCCATCCAGAGGTCTCGAAACCCAGGTTGAGAAACTAAAAGCTCTAAAAGAACAAGCAAATGCTTAGAGAGGTCATATTTTATCAGACATAGATACCAGTCCTGCAGATAAGGGGATTGTAGTGTAGAACAATTCCAATTTTATCAGGAACAGCACCAATTAAAAGCACCTATTAAGTTGTTTTGGGGAAGTTCTCTATCCCTTATTCTAACTGGCCATGTTATGCTATGTTTTGCAGGGCTGTGGTGCAGATGGAGCAGAAAACCCCAAATAAGAATGTGAAAACCCTGAATAAGAATGTGAAAACCCCGAATAAGAATGTGAAAACCCCAAATAAGAATGTGAAAACCCCAAATAAGAATTTGAAAACATCCGTCAAACGTCCCAGCAATGATCACGATCTCCAGCCCAATGAACACCCAATGGAGCATGTCCAAGATGCAGAGGAGAAGCTTATGTCACTGGCTTTGGATAAAGATGGGGATGGGGGTGGAGACGAATTTGTGGACGTGTGCCAGAGTGGACTTATGATCTATCGAGAGCTCCATGACAAACTTTTTGAGCATCAGAAGGAAGGGGTGGCCTTCCTTTACAATCTATATCACAAGAAGCGTCGGGGCGGTATTTTGGCCGACGACATGGGCCTCGGGAAGACCATCCAGATCATTGCTTTCCTTTCAGGGATGTTTGATGTTGCACTCGTCCATTCTGTGTTGCTCATCATGCCGGTTACGCTTGTTAACAACTGGATGCGGGAGTTTGTCAATTGGGCCCCTGGAATTAGAGTGAAGGTCTTCCATGGGACCAGCAAGAAAGAACGAGAGCAAAACCTTGAGCAGATCCAGAGGAAACCTGGGGTCTTGCTCACCTCCTATCAGATGGTCTTGGCCAACTGGGAACAGCTCTCCAATCTTGATGGACAGCCCTTCGTTTGGGACTACGTCATCTTAGACGAGGCCCATAAAATCAAAAGCCCCTCTGCAAAAACCACAAAGTCCGTGTATGGCATCCCAGCTGCCAACCGTATCCTCCTTACCGGGACACCAGTGCAAAATAACCTCCGGGAGCTTTGGGCTCTCTTTGATTTCGCTTGTCAAGGGTCCCTCCTTGGTACAGCCAAAACCTTCAAGATGGAGTACGAGGATCCCATCATGAAGGCCAGAGAGAAGGATGCAACTCCAGGCGAGAAAGCCCTTGGGCTGAAGATCTCTCAGAACTTGATGGCTATCATCAAGCCATATTTCTTGCGTCGGAGTAAAGGGGAAATACAGAAGCTGAATTCGGAGCGGTCCGTCTGCCTGCCCGGCGAAGAGAGGGACTACATTGCTCTGGAAATGCCGTCTCTGCCAAGGAAAAATGATTTTATTGTCTGGGTGTACTTGTCCCCCACGCAAGAAGAGATCTATAGGAGTTTTCTCTCCTTGGATCATATCCATGCGCTGCTCATGGCGACGCGCTCCCCGTTAGCCGAGTTGACCGTCTTGAAGAAACTCTGTGATCACCCCAGGTTGCTGTCCGCACAAGCTTGTCTCAAGCTGGGTTTGGAGGTATCAGAGTACTCTGAGCCAACAGATGAGTCAACTTCAAGCATGACCCAAGAAATCAAATGTGTTTCTGATAAACTTCTCATCGAGGAGTCGGGAAAGCTAGTTTTCCTTGTCGCACTGTTGGAGAAACTTCAAGAAGAAGGACACCAAACTCTTGTCTTCTCCCAGTCGAGGAAAATGCTGGATATCATAGAGCACATCTTAACCAAACGGAACTTCCGGCTGATGCGTGTCGATGGGACGGTGACTTGTTTAGCAGAACGGGAGAAGAGGGTTAGACAGTTTCAGATGGACAAAAGCTATTCGGTCTTCCTCCTGACCACCCAAGTTGGAGGTGTTGGTCTGACTTTGACCTCGGCCACCCGGGTGGTTATTTTCGATCCCAGCTGGAACCCTGCAACCGATGCCCAAGCTGTGGACAGAGCCTACCGGATTGGACAAAAAGAGAACGTTGTGATCTACCGACTCATCACTTGTGGGACGGTGGAAGAGAAGATCTACCGGCGTCAAGTCTTCAAGGACTCGTTGATCCGGCAAAGCACCGGGGATAAGAAAAACCCGTATCGGTATTTCACCAAACAGGAACTGAGGGAGCTCTTCACGCTGGAGGACACCACACAGTCTGCGACACAACTCCAGCTCCAGTCCTTGCATGCCACTCAGAGGAATTCGGACCTGGAGTTGGATGAACACATTGCCTATCTTCATACCTTGGAGATGTTCGGCATATCAGATCACGACCTGATGTACACCTGCGAAACGGGTCAAGAGGAGGAAGAAGAGGAAGCAGAAGATGAGGAGGCACATCGGTATATTGAACACAGAGTCCAGAAGGCCCAGGAGTTGGTTCAGTTAGAGTCGCAACTCATAAACAAAAAATCCCAGAAATCCCGCTACTCGTGAATCGCTTGTACTACTCATGTATTTCCAATCAAGTCACCTCCAATGGAATTAAATCCATCCAGAAGAGGCTCTACTACATCTGATATTCTTTCTTGCCAGAGACATCATTTACCATGACCACCTGGCCACGCCAATCTCTGGATGCTTTTTGACGTGATTGTCTTTTCAAGATGTTCTTAATAATCCAGTTTATTGTCCGCCCTGCAGCTTGGTCTCCTTTTTAAAAGACTAAGCAAGGATGAGTTTCGCGCTCTAATGTTATTAGAGCTAGAATTGGATTTAACCTTTCTTTTGGCAATGGCAGTGACAGGTCCATGGGATGTCCTTTGCATTTATTTGGGAAAGCCATTGCTGAGAAGACTGGAGCATTTTTGGTGTGAGCTTTGATGTGTTCCTTGACAAAGACAAAGTGGACTTTGCGGTGTTCCTTGACAAAGACTAAGAGAAGATGCAGTTCTACTTAAATATAATGGATCGATTGCATATATACTCCAAAGTCTTCCAATGGAAGATATGAAGCAAAAGAAGTCATTGTGCATCATGGTTTGATATTATCTTCCTCCATTTAGGGAGGAAGTCTGTGAAACGAAACCCAGAAGGGAAGAAATTGGTTGCTCCTCAATGTGTTCTCTTTTCCTCCCTGCACTTTTATCTTTTTGAAAAATCAAGTGTTTACATATGGATAATGTTTCCTACTGTCTTTTCTACTATTAGTAAAGTTTTCCCCTATTTTCAAAAAACTCGTATCTTCGATCTATTGTGTTTTCTGAGTAGGATAATTCCACAGGCTACTATGGGTACATCTACATTGTAGAACTAAGGCGGTTTGACACCACTATCCTGCAAAACCAGTTAAAAGTGGATGCTGTTGGGTTCTGGAGTTTTCCTTATACATTTCATCACAATTATTACTATAAAACTCCTTTTCTATTGGGTGCATCTACACTGTAGAATTCATGCACGTTGGTACCACTTTAATTGCCATGGCTTAATGCTACAGGGATTTAATCACTCCCTGTCAAACAGTGATGCTACCTTATCAAATTACAGCTCTCAGGATTCTATCACATTGAGTCATAGCAGCTAAAATGGTGTCAAACTGCATTAATTTGACAGTGCAGATGCACCCATGGTCTTCTCTGGCCTATTGAAAAATAGGCTGAGATTTCTGTCCCAAAACCTGAACCCTTGGGACTGAGGAGCGATAGCAAAGATTCAAAGATATTCAAAACATTCAGGAGATAAATGCAGCAAAACATGCAAATCCTGCACTTGTCTCTGAGCTCCCTCTTTCAAATTTCCCCTTCTTCCTGTGTTATCTCCCTTCTCCTAAAAGTCCTTTTGAACTCTTACCTACAGTTTTCTCAGTTGGCTCTAAGAAATCCTGCTTTGCTGTCAGGCTTTTGTTTTGCCTATCAAAAGGTTAGCAGAGAGACATAACAGAGCTAAAGCTTATTTTCCCCCTTGCTCCTGTTCTCAATTCTGCAATGTAAAAATAACCCCTCTATATATGTTTTATGGGCTGTAAGATGAACCCCTGAGAATACAAAGAGAGAAAGAAAACAGCGAGGGAAAGTGGGAGTCTTTACTGTCTGGTGGCAAATCAAACAGATAAATCCCAAAGAAAGTGGAAAAGGAGAATGATGTAATAATAATAATTTATTTATTTGACCAGTCATATGTCCCAGGTATAGAAGGAGAAGGATGTGATGGGGGTAGGGAAATCGTTTGTTTAATTTCCAAACAGGGCTTTGCAAAGCTTAAGCGAAAACCAACTATCCCAAATGTTGTACATATCCCATGTGAAGAAGTCCCTGGATAATTAACGTAAACACGCAGTACAGCTGAAGTTTCTGCAAGTTACAAGAACTTGATTGAAATTAACTAGCATTCACATAATGGAGGCTGGGTGGCCATCTTTCAGAAGGGTTTGGATTCCTGCCTTTCAGAAAGTGTGGACTGGATAGCCCTTGTGTGCTGGTACGGCTGTACCAGGAGCTCCAACTTTATTTTCTTTCTGTTCTCTGTTTGCAGTCATAGGGCAGGCCTCCTGTCCATCATAATTAAGCTTTGGTTCTGCTCCTTGATCAGGGCTCTGGGACGGAAAGGAGCCATTTTTGGGCAGTCTCACATAAGGAAGCTAAACTATAGGACGTAGACCAGCTCGTCCCATAGAAAAGCTTCTTAAGAGCATCCAGGGAAAAGGAACATCCGGGGAAACAGAAATTCCAGGGAAAAGGTCCCAAGGCTCTGACTGAGAGCTCACTGCCTCTCAGCCTCACAGCAACCAGAGGGAAAACAGCCTTGAAGTTCTCAAAGAATTCTCTGAGGGAGGACAGCACTACAGATCCATGGAACTCCAGCTGAAATATCTTCAAGCCTTGGCTGAGGTCTACTTGATACCCAGACGCATTTGGAATCGGTAGTAGGACCCACACTGATGAGGCATAGATAGTAAACAGCCTGGGAGAGGTTAAAAAGGGTTTTTCCTACAGAGAAAGTTCAGTTAATCAAAGTCAGGTACCAGTCCATTGAGGACTAGACTAAGAAAGCCTTGAAGTGTTGTTTGAACCATTGAAGATTTGTTGTTTGTTCCATAATAAAGACTTCGTTGTATCATTAAAGACTCTAAAGACCATCACTTCAGGAAATCCCTGAGAACCTCTCTTTGAGGCACCCCTGGCTTCCCGCTGAGCTTAAAGTATACGTCCTATAGAAAAGTACAGCTGTTACAGGCCCAGCGCGCGACAGAACACCTTGGGTCTCTTCTAACTCTAGGATTCCAGGAACTAAGGGCTCACCCAAATCAATAAGCAAATTGAAACCTGCTGCACTGCCTATTTGTTTTTCAAAGACAAAGACAGGCTTATGGCTAGCAAAATGGTTGTGGCTACAGGTTTGCCATAAATCTGCCCATATGTGGAGGATTTGAACGCTTAGCAATCATCTGGTATTGGCCCAGGAGACACAAACTGACTATAGATCCACTTCTGGTTTTGAATCAGTGTGCAATGCTAGGTAAGACACAGCCCTGCAACCTATTCAAATTAATTTCATTTGCAAAGAAACAGCCTTTGGGGTCTGAATACCGACCACCCTCGTGAACAAAGGGCCGGGATACATTCATAGACAAAACACAAACGCTTGCCAGCAATGAGATAAAACACAACACTAGGACATCTGTTTTGCATATAATGTTTCGTATGGAATAATGCTTTCTTCGGATGCCACAATCCACATCTGTACCTGTGAATTTAGTGCTGAGATCAGGTTGCTTTAAAGATACACCAATGGGCTATTTTTACCTTGTCTGGGTTAAGTGCATGTTGTGCAGATCAACCCTTTCATCTAGGCTGGAACTGAGTGAATGAGAATCAGGATTGTTCAGTTGGAAGGGACCCCTAAAGGTCATCAAGCCCTTCCCCCTGCCATACAGGAATGATACAGGAAAGATAAACCTTCACAAGCTGCCTTGGGCAGAGAAAGATCCTGTAAAACTACAGCTCCCAGGATCCTATAGCACTAAGCCATGGCAGTTATAACGCAGTGTCAAACTGTATTAAACCTACGGTATAGAACAGCGTTTATCAACCTGGGGGTCGAGACCCCTGGGGAGGGAGTTGCAAGGGGGTGTCAAGATCATCAGAAAACATATTTCTGGTGGTCTTAGAAACCACTTTTGCAGGGAAGGCTGAAGATCTCTCTGCCAGTCCGTCTCTTCCTTTTTGGAAACAGATGGCGATTGGCCGGCCTCTCAACTAGCCTCTCAGCCAAGGGGAAGGCTGTTTCTGAGACTCCAAGAGGGGAGAATAGGCGTGCTTGGCACATGGTAGCGTGGTGCACATATACGGGCAAGGGAGAGTTTGCGAGACTGGAAGGAGGCTCACACCAGCACATCCCTTCAAGGCATGGGGGTTCTGTGTGGAAAGTTTGGCCCAATTCTATCGTTGGTGGGGGTTCAGAATGCTCTTTGATTGTAGGTGAACTATAAATCCCAGTAACTACAACTCCCAAATATCAAGGTCTATTTTCCCCAAACTCCCCGCAGTGTTCACATTTGGGCATACTGAGTATTTGTGCCAAATTTGGTCCAGATCCATCATTGTTTGAGTCCACAGTGCTCTCTGGATGTAGGTGAACTACAACTCCAAAACTCAAGGTCAATGCCCACCAAACCCTTCCAGTATTTTCTGTTGGTCATGGGAGTTCTGTGTGCCAAGTTTGGTTCAATTCCATTGTTGGTGGGGTTCAGAATGTTCTTTGATTGTAGGTGAACTATAAATCCCAGCAACTACAACTCCAAATGACAAAATCAATCCCCCCCCCAACCCCACCAGTATTCAAATGTGGACGTATCGGGTATTTGTGTCAAATTTTGGTCCAGGGAATGAAAATACATCCTGCTGCATATCAGATATTTACATTACGATGCATAACAGTAGCGAAATGACAGTTGGGAAGTAGCAACACTCAATACTCAATATGCCCAAATGTGAATATTGGTGGAGTTTGGGGGAAATAGACCTTGACATTTGGGAGTTTGGGTTGCTGGATGTATAGTTCACCTACAATCAAAGAGCATTCTGAATCCACCAATGGAATTGAACCAAACTTGGCACACAGAACTCCCATGACCAACAGAAAATAGTGGAAGCGTTTGGTGGACACTGACCTTGAGTTTTGGAGTTGTAGCAACAAAAATAAAGTTGTGGTTGGGGGTTAGCACAACATGAGGAACAGTATTAATATTAAGGGTCACGGCATTAGGAAGGTTGAGAATCATAGAATCATAGAATCAAAGAGTTGGAAGAGACCTCATGGGCCATCCAGTCCAACCCCCTGTCAAGAAGCAGGAATGTTGCATTCAAATCACCCCTGACAGATGGCCATCCAGCCTCTGTTTAAAAGCTTCCAAAGAAGGAGCCTCCACCACACTCCGGGGCAGAGAGTTCCACTGCTGAACGGCTCTCACAGTCAGGAAGTTCTTCCTCATGTTCAGATGGAATCTCCTCTCTTGTAGTTTGAAGCCATTGTTCCATTGCGTCCTAGTCTCCAAGGAAGCAGAAAACAAGCTTGCTCCCTCCTCCCTGTGGCTTCCTCTCACATATTTAACATGGCTATCATATCTCCTCTCAGTCTTCTCTTCTTCAGGCTAAACATGCCCAGCTCCTTAAGCCGCTCCTCATAGGGC